AATGAGGGACAGTCTTGTTTGTATTTAAAAGTTTGCTTTGAAAGCTTTGACATCTACTTATAAGTGCCAACAAAACAGGACTTTAAAATACTTAATGTCTGCAGCAGCAGCACCAATGAACAATGACGTAAATGACTGAACATAAAGATGAATTCATGTTGTCTGTGATTTTCTCAAGCATGATTCAAGACTTTGCAAATTGATTTTCATGCTGTTCTGAAATGAATAGAAACCAGTGGCTGCCCATGGGAGTGAGAAAATCTATGACATTCAGGTCAGCAATACATTTGTAGTAAATGGGCTACACCATGCAAAACCATTAGCGTGTGAGGAATAAATGTAATCAGAGAGCAGAGCATCTTCATAATGATAGAAGTGCAAGTACATGTATTTGCATTTATCTTTGTGTTTGCTGGTGTTGCACATTGACACAAGTGCTTCTTTTTCTGCAAGCATGCGAGCTGCATACCTGCCTGTGCCCAACACCGCACGACTCACAAGGTGGAATAAAGCAGAAAAAGCCGTAGCTGAGCCTGCTGTACTAATCCTGAATAACATGCAGCAGCTCCTGAATAACATGTAGCAGCAATTACAGCACGTCACCGCATGGTATATTCAGTGGACATCTCATCCTTTCCATCTCAGAGCTGTTCTGACACATCATCCCTTGTGCCCACTCTATGGCTGACTGGGTTTGAGAAAAAGAGAGACCGTGAAAGCGAGACAGAGAGATCGACGGAAAAGCCGAGACAGAGATGGAGTGATATGTATGCTTGCATGGCTACATTGATGTACAGATGTACCCAGACACATACTCGCTCACACATGTAGTTGTATAAGCCATAGAAAAGACACACACACACACACACACACACACACACACACACACACACATAAGCAGAATCCCAAACACCATTCTGACTGTTCAAACAAAGATATGAGGACTGTGTTATTTCACCTGCAGTTGAATACACACCACAGCTAATGTTGCACATGTCTAGACATATTTGTGGATTATATGGACATGACCGTACCTTGTCGCAGCAATGATCAGCCTGTACAAACTCATGGGCCCACAGATGGAGAGATCAGCAGACTGTCAGACAAAGTGTGAAGCAAAAGGCCAACATACAATCGACGCGTCCACTCCATTAACATGCTAATTAGGCCCAGCTAACCACAATGTGAAGTCAACCTGAGAGCTGCTGCCAATGTGTGTGTCAGCTAAGACACTTTCCCTCTCCATGTTTGTGAATGGTGAATGTGTCACAGTAAATGCTGTGCCTGATGCATCAGCCAGGCTCCCTTGAATATGTTATTTTAGGTGCAAAAAAAATTCAAATTCATCAGAGAACTTCTGCGCTGTTCCTGCCAACACTGACGCATCGCTGCCTCACTATTGTAGACTCAGACATGCTGGCATACTGAGCACTTTTGGCAGACTGGTGAAATCTGTACTTTGAAGTCATTTGTTTTGAATTAAGTGATTTTCTGTCCGGCAGTGTGCAGTGGTAAGACAGCTGATTCACGTGCAAAAAAAAACATTGGACAGAGCAAGGGCCGAGCATGTTTGGAGGACAGATGCCAATCATCCTGGTTTCAGCTCTCCATTTAACCCTGAGTGTAAATGCAAAATGATTGTGTGCTATGGAAAGTCATGTCATCGAGGATCTGTTGATGATAACTATGCATCAAGTGTAATAGCATTTACCAGCATGTCCATTAGGCAGAAAACAGACACAAAGATAAGATACATTAAACTCTAAAAAGCCTCTTCTGGAATCACACATGGTCACTCAGACTTGTTCTCCCAAAAAAAATAAATAAATAAATAAAATCCGGACATAACACTTCTCATAAATGATAAGAATGAGCTGCTCATTTCTCTTAAAGCCTAATCCATCACGAGAAGCTGTCAGGATGCAGGTTTAGACAATAGGCCTTCCCTCAAAGCTGTTATAGCTATGAACACTCATCACTATGGTGTGTTTCATCTCAACTGTTGAAACAGCAATAATCGATCTGATGGCAGCAAGAAAAACATGTTGTTTTTCCCTCTCCCCCTGGAGGCACACAGCACAAACACACACAACAGATGGTTTTTCACGACACGCACTAAATAAATACAAATATAATACAGACAGTGAGTATGTTGTGTGGTGACCCCCACCGAGCAAGTGTGTTTCTGTGTTTTGCACTGTGTGTGTGTTCAAAAGTTGGACTATATCACATGCAGGATAGTTCAAACTCCTGAAAAACTCCAGTAAAGCCTATAATACAGTGCTTTCTAAAGTGGGGTCCCTGTGGGGGGCTCCAGGGGCCCCAGCTAAATAAGAAACAGTTTAATTTCACTATTATTTCACTCCCTGGATGATAGCACAATGGGAGCATGTATTACTGTAATCTATTCTCATTAGAGGTTTTACTGTCCTACTGTTGTCAGACATCCAGAGCAGACAGTTGCACAGCTGTGTGGCCAAATTAAAGCTAGAGAGAGAGAGAGAGAGAGAGACAGAGAGACAGAGAGAGAGAAAGAGACTGGTCATCAAATAAGAGTCTGTGGTCTAATGTGGGCTGTATCCGTCTGGGGGATCTTGATATTAAAAGTTTGAGGACCTCTTCCCTTTCATATGAAGTGCCAAAGGTCTTGAGTGTTCATTGTGTAGCCAGCGGTGAATAACCTTGTGAACTGCGGTTTGATCCATCACAGCTAGATGTACTGACACGCAGCAAATAATAATGCTTCGGCAGAGTGCAATGCTGGCAGAGATAGCCTTGTGACCCGGGTACAACTCATAAACTGCAGTGCGGCATCAGCTGTATAAATATCACATAGTCGTCCCCATGTTTCCTTACACAGATGAATATTTCATTCCCAGAAACCTTCGGTGCGTGTTGTGCAAATTAAAGATGCGCTTCAAATGGCGCATCGTCTGTAATAACATCTGCCGGGCAGCGTGGTGCATTATGAACAGCCTCATATTTATACCAATGTTTTATAAAGGTAAAAAAGAACCACCACTGGATTCATACTGGCGACACTGTCAGAGCGCAGATTTCACCCCAGGCTGCAGAAAACTAATGAAATAAGCAAAACAGTCAAATGGAGAGAATAATTCAGGGGGCTAAAGTTGAGACTTACTCACCCCTTTTGAACATTTTGTAGGCCTAGGTGTATTTCGTCTTCTGTCCTCGGAGAATCATCTATTCTTATATTCCAGACTTAAAACTTGTGCGCTTTAGTTTTGAAGTTGATCCGGAGCCTTTCGTGGCTCGATCGTGTGAATGTCAGTTGTCACTCCTCTGGATTTTCTTGCGATCCACTGTGTTGAGTTGCACCGCAGGCTGCCGTGGGTTGGATGAAGACTGACAACAAACAATAATCTCCTTTTCCACAAAGTCTGGCGGACCTCGGTCGGACCTGGGAAATTAGGCGGCAATCATTGCGAAACAGACGCACTAAAATCATCCCCTCAGTCCGAAATAATAACTCCAGTGTATGTGTGTGTGTGTGTGTGAGAGAGAGAGAGGGGAGCACAAACGCACAGTGGTCCGATACAACCTCTGATAGCCAACTCCTTTTTTTTTTTAGACGCAAATGACCGTGGAGGCTGCAAATCAGTTCTGGGGGCAAGTCGACGGTGAACACAGGCAGTCTCCAAAAAACCCCACAGATATTTAAATCCAAGTGGCCAATCTGAAATTCTCCTCTCGGTGCTTCAGATCCGTTCAAATCGCATCATATTCGTTAAAATCTCTAATTAACATAAGTTATTTGGATTCACATTCCGCCTCTGATGTCGGATTATAAACGCAGACTCCTCAAATCCTCCTTAATAATGTAGACTTTGATGCCTTCGGTTTCCTTAAACCCCCCCCCCTCTTTTCAGCTCTCCTCTCCACTCGTAATTGTTACATTTCTGTGATCTTGTCTGTGTAGATCTCTCTGCTTTCCACCTATGGATCAGAGCTCGTTGATGCGCTCAAGGAGGGAGAAAGTGTGTTGTACTGCCTCAGCCCCTCCACCGGGCAGCATCCTGCTCCATCCATCTCACTGCCTCTGCCCCTGTCTGCGCCAGCCTGAGACACACTGCTCCCTGACACCAGAGGTCTTCATGATAGTAAATAGGATTTAACACAAGTGGACCAAACTTACATACAGCAGCTGTATATAGGTTATTAGATCTATTAACCAGCCAGACAAAGCATCACGGGAGATTTGTGATGCTTCCCATTCTGCTTTCATAAAAGAAACTGATTTCCTGATCAAATAGTCTGCAAATCACAGGGCTCTCTTATAGATAATGGATTATTGCATAAACTGAGTCTCTCTCTCTCTCTCTCTCTCTCTCTCTCTCTCACTCTCTCTCTCTCTCTCTCTCTCTCTCTCTCTCTCTCTCTCTCTCTCTCTCTCTACAACTCACACACACACAAAGACACACACACACAGAGACACACATTTCTTTTATATTTTTTTATATTTTATTTTAAAATGTAAAACACTATGAAACTGTCGCATTGAATTACTCATGCTCTAAAAATCCTCTCTCCTGTTTGATTTTTATTGTAATTATATGTATTATTTTTCGATTAATTTTTTATTTGATATTTTAATTGTTATTTTTTTATTAAGTTAAGCACTTTGAAACTGGGGCACAGTGTATAAATAATTTTTTATTTCATTTTATTTAATTGTATGTTTACTTTCTGTTTTTGTTGTTGTTTCTATTTTTTATTATATTTATTTACATTTTAAAGTGATTTTATATGATGTATAAAGAACCTCGAGACGAAATTGGGATTTTTATTTTATTTTATTTTATATATTGCCACTGCACCCATAGAAATTCTGTATACCTTGGTGAACTGCTCTGGTCTATCGGTACGGTCCGGTCCTGTCCTCCTGTCCCGTTCAGTGACATCGATTACATCGGTGCTCGACTTCTCTCCACTGTCCTCCTCAGTCGATTGGTTTCCCCTTTTTATTCCTCACATGTTTTATGTTTGGGGAAAAAAACATGGCTGCGCCTTCGAGTGAAGTCCAGATTGTTCCTGCCAAAAAGCCCACAGGTAAATATTAACGTGGAGAATGAAACGTTCAGTACAGGAGGCGGTGAAATTTATCATTTCTATGAGCACGTTATACAGTTACCTGGCCTCCACGTCGATGAGAAGGAACTACGACATTCAGTTTTTTTTTTTTTTTTATTATTGTCAGCACAACACTTTGGCAATGATGTCTAGTCTGCATGCTGTTTACTAGCTCTCCGGCTGTCTACATTATAATCAGTTTACACGACAGAACATTTGCTTCTTTAGCCTCATAGTTTGCATCCAGTTCGTGTTCAGTGTTGTCGACATGACTCACCAGGTTTCATTAGATCGATGTGGCGTGTTTGTGGAACAGGAAATCAGATTAGTTGAGTGTTTGAGGGTTTATGAAATATGTTGTGTTTCAGTGTGGCGTTTGATTTAGTACAACACCAGATCAATATCTTCTTGCTGAATCCATTGAAAATAAATATGACCTGAAAACATGGCCTTTTCTCTGATTAGACGATTGCACGCCAAACGTCTTAGATAATGTAATTAATCTATTAATTAAATTGAGTTGCAGTGGTTGTTTGTTCTATATTGGACTTATATTTTACTGATGTTTTTCAAAGCTTGTGGATAATTTGAACAGGCGGCTGCATGCATTGTAAAGGAGGTGGTTGAGAGACCAGAGACAAATTTTATAGTATGTGGCAGGATCTGATGTAGCTATTGTCAATGCTAAGGATGTTTACTTAAAAATGCAAGTTACATTATTATTCTTGGCAACCCTGTAGTGTATCCAACAGCATGACACAGCATACTCAATCTAACTTTGATTCAGACAGACATTTTCCAACATGATTTCAAACAATCCCAGCATGTACTCTGTCATTTTCCGCTTTAAACTTTTGAAAGGAAGACACACAAAAGAAATTACAAGGAAATTGTTTGGGTTCGGTCATACTTCCACATCCTGTTTATAGGGAAAAGCTATAACAGGAGCTCTTTGCAGACACTACAGTTATTAGTTGAGTCGTGTTTTTAAAATGTCAATAAGATAGAGGAGGTTTAAACTGCCAAAACATCTTCCACACTGCAAATCATCTGTATAGCAATTGACGCAATGCAGGGTTACTGCCAGAGGAGAAAGCTGACGATGATCCTTGTGGCCCATATCTAGAAAGGACTATAAAAGTTGTTTTTAATCAAGATTATTGTAGATAATACAATACTAGACAGGAGTTCTTCTTGAAAAGCAAAACAGTGTCTTTAGTGTCTGGTGGCAAAGATTTACATAGACACTTGTTCAAAGGTTGGATTAATTATGATAACTGTAGTTTGAGTGTTTAACAAGTTTTACATTTACATTTTTATAGAAAAAATAATGTCTGAGTTATTTATTGAACTCAACACCAAACCAATCATGTCAATACAGTGGTGGAAAGTAAAGTGGTGCATGGTCCTGCTGTCTATCAAGAAAACCAACAAACAATAGCAGACAGAAGGTTGTAGCCAAAATACAAATTAAAAATGGAATAAAAGACAGTAAATTAAAAAATGCTGGTGCAGTCCCAGTTGTAGAGTATACATTGTGCTTGTCATTGAAATCCTGGCTGTACCTGGGAACAAGACTGTATTGGAGCTCAAACTCTGCCAGCAAAATCTCCCTCAGTGTATCTCCCATTTCAGCTGACATTTCCAGCTACACAGCAGCTGGTAGAAAAACATTTTCAGGAGATGCTACAACGACAGATTTGTCTAATTCCCCACCTCTCCTTCCTCATTGTTTGTCGCCTATTACTGCAGAGGTGAGGGATGCATTTGTAGAGTGCTGATGACACAACAACTTTCAACAACAACAATTTTCCTGACCTGTATTAACCCCCTTCACACTCCAAGATCTTGTCCAAACTGTAGAACATGTCTTGCGCTTGTTTGAAAGTCTATAGCTTCATTTGGTGCAGGAGGCTCCCAACGATCAACTTCACCCATAACTCCTGTGTTTGTCTGAAGAATGTAAGGACAGTTAGGTCTGTTAGATATGGCTTCAGCCTGTGTTCACCACATTGCTAACAGCTCCATCATTTAACCCTCTCTTCAGTCCGAGGACCACGCCGAGTCGCCAATCAAATTCCAGATGAAATCCTGCAAGACGCCGAGTTACAGGAGGCGATCAAAGCCCTGCCTGCAAATTACAACTTTGAGATCCACAAGACAGTTTGGCGAGTGAGACAAGCCAATGCTAAGAGAGGTGAGCTCTGTTCTTTCTTTAATATATACACTTTATTCATTTTGCACATGACTAGAAATCTATATTTACTCTTTTAACAGAAGTGTTCACTGTTGTTGCTGTTGGGGGAAAAATGCCAGTAGTAAAATAAGCTTTACTGCAAAGGTAAAAACAGAGTCTGGGTGGTACTCACTTAAAAATTTGAATTTTTAACACAACAGTATTCAGCAGTGTCACAGTGCTCACAAATAAAGTCTAAATATAGCTAAGTACACACACATGCACAGATATATAAAACACTTTAATTTGCACAATTGACTTCTGAATTAAGTTACATTAGCTGAACTGGAGCAGAGGCTGGATGAAGTTACATGGAAGTAAAGGGTCTGAAATAAATACAGTCTTTTAAACTGCCTCGGTTTACATTAGAGGCTGTGTAATTATTGTCATGAGATGGCAGAGATGGAGCAGAAATGACACTTTTTGTTAAAAGTTAAAAAGAACTCATGACCATTTGCACTGTATTACTATTCCCTTCATCACCTTCATTCAACAATATTCATTTTATGTCCATGTAATGTCAGTGGCACCATAAGATAAGAGGTGTAAGCTGAGGGTTTATAACACAGTTCAGCACTCAAGTGTTTTCCTTTGCATTCTTATTCACACCTCATTAACAACTGCTTTGCAAGTTTATAGAGCGTTAGCACGACAGTTTGAAGGTCTGAACACACAGGTTACAGAGCATTAAGAATCCAGTGTTTACAGACTGTGTGCATGAGCATTAATACAAAAAGCCCTCCATGAGCACATCTGCGCTTTGACCTACTTGGATGACGAATGTACATTCCTGCAATGTTCACGCAGGTTTATCCAGTGTTTTGACAAATTTGACAAATCAATGACAGACCCAGTTTTCAAAAGGCCATGTAGGTCGTCCCATATGCTTATGTCAGTGCGATTCAAATCTCTCAGCACTGAACACACATTTAACAATGGACAACACAACCGAAAAAATGTAAAAATGAATACATAAAAATTGGTATGTTAAAGATGATGATGCATCTGTGGCTCTGCCATGACATAATTCAGAAAAAAAGCCTTTTTTCCTGTGGTGTGATCGCTCTTATTGCACAGCACGGACTCCAAAGTGATGCAGGATGCTGTTCACAATCACTCTGAGTGGTGTTTTACAGACAGTTAGCACAGAATTTGTGAATGAGGATCGGTAATCCTCCTTTGATCTTCAGGGAGGGGACAGTCCGCCTGGGAATTGTGCTTATGTGTTATTGACAGAGTTGGAAGGATCCACTAACACTGCAGCTGATTGTGTGTTCACACTCAGACTACTTCTCGCCAGTGTAACTAAAAGCATGTACAAGACTTTTTTTTTTTTTTTGAATTTTTTGGATGCTTATCAGAAGTAGAACTTGGCCTCATAAACAACAAAGAGTTCAAACCCAGTCTCAGAGCAAAAGGAGAAAAAATATTCTCTTCATCAGCTGGGAAACGATTTCTGTTGTTTCTGACAGACAGACATGTTGTATCTTTCGTTGTGATATCTTTTGTTCATTGGTGTTATTTCAGGATGGAGGTCACTTAAAACGGATACACGATATAGGTCGCTTAAAAAATATAGTTCAATCAAACAGAATCATCACATCTGAGATGAGTGGAGGAGCAAGGCCTGCAGTGGGATCGCAGCCTCAGAACTAAGAGTGTGGACACAGCGGGAGGCTTCACTGACATCGAGAAAGTGGTGTGTGGCAACAAGCACATCATTTTTGTTGCTCTAAAACTGCATTCAGTGACATGGGATGGTAATTTTACATCGTTATTATTAGGTGATAGTGACAGAACAAAAAAAAACAAAACAGGATTTGTAATTAGTACCAGCAGCTTTGAAGCGGTCCAGCCAGTCCCCTGTCAGCTTTACAGTGTGGAGGCTGAACTATTTTTCAAAGTCGGTAGGGAAACAAAGAAGCAAAGAAAAAGAATCACTGATGACGCATCCAGTACTTCCCTTTCACTGTCTGTTTCTACAGAATTCATGCTCATCGATATGACATCGCTGGTGTATAGTGTTGTGAATGTGTGTTACACAGCCGATCCACAGTTTGGAGGGACTCTTGTGTGAGACTGTAGAAACAAACCAGGGTTCAGGCTTACAGTCTTCTGCGCTTCTATTAAGTTGTCATCATTGTGATTTGAAATTCCTGTGAGCTGGAGAAAACGCAGTGACGAGGAGTTCAGATGTCTCAGGCAGAATTATATTTATTGTAAGCTTGGCGCTTAACTTTATCCTAAACATTCATCTATGAGGAGGCTGTTGGTCACCAAAATCTGCATTCTCCAGGTTCTTACCTAATTAATATTACATATATCTTGTCCCTTTCCCTACTTAGCTCATCCTTGACAAGAACTAGATTTGAACAATATCTTGTAGCTACTCTTTCCTTGTAAACCCTTATCTATAAGACTAAGGGTACCCTAGCTACGGATGATAGCAGTGGCTCCATCTAGACACATAGTCATAATAGAAGCTAAACAATGTCTAACAATGTGAAGGTTGACTTCTACTTGATTGCAGTGTTGCCTGTGAAACGGGTCATGGGGTAGTGTTACAATGCTGGCCTCCAGCCCAAGAAGAAAACCGTCCTTCACTAATATAAATGTCAAATTGTGTACTCTTCCAGTCGCTCCTGCCTTGGGTGGAAATATGCAGATGGCATGCCAAGAGGATTGAATCATTTTTTTGATGTCCCTGTGGGGAGTGTGTGGTTTACCACCGCCTGCTGGGTTTGCTTTTTTGTTGTGTGACGTTTTTTTATTTATTTTATTTATTTATTTATTTTATCAGAGCTCATCCTCTCTCTCTCTGAACTCAGAGAGTATAACACACCTTATCACCCCTCTCTCTCCCTCTCTGTTCTCTCTCTCTCTCTCTCTCTCTCTCTCTCTCTCTCTCTCTTTCTCTCTGCTCCTTTTTGTGTCCATCTGTTTCTTTGTCAGCCTTTGAACTCGCTTTTGAAATCGAGGACTAAGGGACATACAGTAGAATTTTATTTTCGCTGCCCAGGCTCTTTTGCTGAGCTTTATAAATAGTCAAAAGCCATGTGTTGTTTTGCTTAATTTCCTCATTTCATTCTAATTGTGTTGTTTTGAAATCATCTGTTGTGCATCTCAGCTCCTTACGAGAGCAGCTCAGTTCTGCAGACTTTGGCAGTCGGCTGTTTCCATTACTGTCGCACATTCAGTTCAAATAAAAACAAGTCAACACAAAATGTAATCAGATTCTGATAACTAGCTGACCTGAGTCTAGTCTTTTGTTAATAGAGAAGCAATAGCAATGAGTGACACACCTATGACAGGAATTCAGACCTATGAAAAGGCCAGATGGAGGCTCTTCTGGCCATTAAGAAAAAAGATGGAAACAATGTAATCATCCATATTCTATAGAAACAAGTGGTTGTGCACCTTGCAACACTGCTTCATTTCATTGTAGCTACTATATGTTTTTCCAGGTAATGACACTCTGCTCTTGATGTAAAGTTAAACTAATATATCCACAATATTAAGAAAACAAAGTTGTCCACTGTGGTTAAATCATCTTTATTTGAAACTCAACCAATCCTGCGTAATATCATTAATGACATATTGGCTGATCTCAGTTTGTGTTCATTCATACCATATTTTTTTGTGGCCTGCAGTGTGTTACGCAATAGTTTTTCAGCCTTGAAACTACTGAATCGCACTTGGTGAAAAAAATAAAAATTAGAAAAGACAGAGATAAAGCCATAGAAGCGAAAAAGCAGTACGGCCTTGAGTGTCTTGGGGGACCTTGAATCCATGAACAAGTTTCCCTTGGGGGTTTGTGAAATGCCTGAGGAGTTGTTCTGTTTCCCAAGGTCTTCTCACAGCTAAACTACAGACAATCAAAAGCTTAGCACAGTTGACACTTTCCTTGTGCTTGTTTCCTTGAGCTTCAGGACAATAAGCAACACGTGGAGCCTTTAATTCCTCCTTTTAGTTTCTTCAGCGCGCCCCCCCCCCCCATGGTGAAGTTACTTCTATGAGAGCACAGGGTGTGGGTAGAATAAGAGAAAAGCTGTAATGGGAATAATGTTGTAATCACAAAATCTTTTTTTTTTTTTTTTTTAAAAGTGAATTTTCAATTGAGGATTCCTGAGTGCTGCATGTTAACTAACTACACATCCAGCTAAGCCACAGATGGCCCACCACACTGAACAGAAGTGCTTCACAAGTCCAGAATGACAATTACGTCCATGGCTGGGAACTTGTATTTTTCTCCAATTAATTAATGGTCCTTTTCTAAATAGTCTTTTTGTTGCCACCCTAAATAACAGAACCAGCGTTTTCTTTCATCCCCGAGTACAAAATGACTCCTCAGTAAGCAGTCCAAGATGGCCTTTTCCCCTCTGTCTGAACAGCGTGTTCCTTTATAGAAAACATGACAGTAGTGAGAGTGCCGGCTGCCAGTGGAAAGTTCAAGCAGATCAGAGTCATTGTTGGTATCTACAGACCGGACATGCACATATGGAAATTTTTTGTGTTTGCTGAATACAGCTTTATGAATGGTAAATAGACATCTGACATTCAGAGTCTGTTTGTGTGACTTTCATTCACGCACGTGGAGATCTGCACATACTGTAGAGACTTTCCAAATGTAGACAATTCAAAATAAATAAGAAGTCATAATAATGAGTGTAATCTGTAAAATGTAGTGAATTATGTCAGAATATGTTGGTTAATTTATATAATTAAAATGGGAATCAGGTTGGAACGAATTCTGTACATCCTGCCGTAGCAGCCAGCACCTCTAAAATAGTTTCAACATCATGGACACAGGATTTGTTGTAGGACTGTTGCATAAGTCAATAAACTGGCAACTGGGTATGTTTATATTTTGTTCATTCAATGAATTCATTTTGTCCCCCTTTTCTAATATTGGCCATTTCCATTCCATAACATACAGTATATGAAGACAGAGGACAGACATGAATTATCATCAGCGTACTACTCCTGCCTTAATTGACATTTGACAAAACTTCACAGCTCAGCCTAAATGTTACTGTACACATTCAAACAGCCACAATCCAAATCTACTACAGGATGAACCCTATCTATAGCTATAGCACTATTCTCATCTTCCCGGCCAAAACCCCCCTTTTGGAAATTCAGAGTAATCCCTCGGCTTTATCCGGTCAGTCTGCCGTTCACTGATAAATTGGACTTCCCAGCAATTTCTTTAGTTTACCTCCTGTCTTTGATTGTTACCATAATCCCACATGTATCTCTTGTTGCCTGTACAGCTATTAGAGTTACAACAATAGATATGTCATAGGACAACAATGATTGGTGATTGACACTTCATGTTTGGCTTCATGTATAAGCGAGTTTTTTGTCACTGCAACTTGACAAAGCTGCTTGTATGTAATAGATAGATAGAAAGATACATAAATACATACAAACAAACAAACCACCAAACATTATTTTTATCCTCTTGGGGAAATTCATGAAGTAATAGTCAGAACCATCCAAACTTTTCTTGTCTCTCTCTTTATGTCTGCATGATTTGGATGCTTTATTTTTCGTCTTTTTTTTTTTCGGAGCAGTACTATACTTCCAAAGTTAGAAGCAGCTTATCATGCTTGCGTGCAAATATTCATTCAAACAGCCAGTCCCACCTCCAGCATCTGACTCACCTTTTCGCTGGGGGGAGCAGATGGAGAAAGCGCTTTGCTTCTGTCAGCCAGGGCAGAGGTGTGCTCTGAAACCTTTCTCTGTTAATAAACTTGCCCTTTTCGAGGTAATGACCTGTCTCTCACTGTCTGCATGAGCTCCTGGTGATCCCTTAACCTTTCATCAGTAAATAGTGCTCTCGCTCCTCCTCTTCATATCGCTCCATCTATCACTCCATCTCCTGGCCATCCTCCCTCAACTTTCCCGGCCTTTAGTCGGTCCCAGCTTTTATTGTTTAATGCTGTCTGGCACTGAAGTCTCGAAATCGTTTCAGGCCTAGTCATGTGAAAACATTCAGTGTTTTCGAATTATAAGTGTCCGCGGAGACATTGATGGATTTATTGAAGTAAGGTGTGACAGAGTGTGACTGGGGGAAAATGGCACGGTTGATTGCAGCAAAGCCTTTGCCTCCAGGTGCCGACTCCGTGTGTCTGAAGCGGTGACAGGGAGTTCACACTGAAATGGTCAACACCTTGTGAATGCATGTCTGTGATCATTTTACATTCACACCAACCGTAAATAACTGACTTCACAAAGGGCATTAAATGGGAATAAGAAACCTGTTGACAGGAGGCCTTGCTGACACACACACACACACACACACACACACACACACACACACACACACACACACACAAAACCACTAAACAGTGGAACCTCTATATTTCACACAGTTACAAACAGACAAAAAAAACACACTCACATTTAACTGAAAATTAGTTAATGAGTTTATGAAATAATCCTCAAACTGGAGTCTACATTTGAGTTGTGTATTTAAAACAATAGTCAGTTCTCAGCTAATTCCATCAAATGTTAATGTTTTAGGGTTTTTATCTACTCTGAAAAGTATGTTTATCTGCTGGTGAAACAAGGGATTTCCTTAACGTCTTTTGTTCTCTTGGAAAACACGTTTGTTCATTGAAGTCTTTACTGGATGAAATGGATTGGAATTATTTTTGCTAATTGATTAAATGTTTGCATCATTTTATCAAGCAAGATTTCCAAATATTTTCTGGTTCCAGCTTCTCAAATATGAGAAATTCCTACTTGGGTCTGTTTTTATATCTCTGACAAGTGGCTCTTCTCTTAACGGTTTTGCACTGTTGATCCTATGAAACAAGAAATTTAAATGTCACATGGGGCTCTGGGAAATTGTGATTTTCACCATCACCATAATCCGTAATCGGTTGATTGGAAAAACAATCAACAGATTTCTGGAGAAAGAAAAAGTCATTAGTTGCAGCCTGAATTGGTATATCGGTAAATGTTACACTCTAACTCTACTCTATTTCAAAAAACAGACCAAACTGAGGAACTAGGGAAACTATTATTATTATGAGCGTGTGAGCCATCTCCCAGCACCGTATTTGCTTTGCTTACTAATCTTTTCTCTGTCACTCTTGTCTTTATCCACTTCACGCTCTGATTCCTGTCCTGTTATTCCTTCCTGCGGGGTTAGCGTTGGCATAATCAATATCTGACTAGTCACTGATACCAAGATGTCATCCTGTTTATTGATGAAAGGATGGCTGGATTAATGTATACGGAATCATGGACTCCGCCAAAAGACATAGAAGACTTATCTTGTAAGAAATCCCCAAAGGACAGGACACTCATTAGTGCAGTGACATTTTATTTATTTGTTTGACCATGTATAACTCATAAAAATGTCTGTATTTATAGAGATGTTGAAAAATGAAAGCTCTATGAAAGCATTACTTTTTAAATAATCTACTAATCCAATGGTTCCCAACCTTTTCAACTCCTGGCCCACATGAAAATCTCAAAAATGTTAGCAACCGACATCCAACCCCATAACAACACAGAGGCCAGATAATGTGATAATGTGTTCTCAGAGCACTTTTTTTATTTTGATGGTAATGATCGAACACATTGAAGCGGAAAATGTAGGAAGTCTCCACAGTTGTTTTTAAGGACCATTTTGTTGTAAAACATTTTAAAACACTATTCACATATAATTATATACATATAAGGAGAGGAAGCATCGATGTGACTAATGTCACTGTAGAGCCAAAGCTCACAGCAGCATCATGTGTAAATGTGTCAAAAAATGTGCTATATACAGCTTCATATTAATATGTTTTATATTATATAGAAGTTAAACCAGCTTATTAGGGTTCAAGCTAAATGACTCATTGCTTTTCTTTCTCAGAAGCTCATATTTTCACTTGAGCTAATTTATTTAAAATCCCCCGCACACGTGTTAGTGGTGAGCTCGCACTTTCCATAGAAAACATGTTATTTAAATTTTCCTTTTCCCATTACAACCTTCCTTTTAATATACCTGCACCTGCTTTTTTTAGAGGTGGAGACGCTTTCATGCAATGCTGATCCCCACATTTATATTAGCAGCAAATCCAGGAGAATGTGCAACCTCGCATCACATCTCCAGTCATCATTTGACATGTGACTTTTCTTGAAATGAATATGCATAAAGGAACGAGCTGTACTTCACTGATTGCAGGCAGGGTGCAGTTGAGATGACAGGGAAACCGTGCTTCCAGGGCCTTCTGCCTGTTTGATAAAAAAAACATGTTCGTCTCTTGATGCAGAGTGAGTCTGAAACGAACCACTTAAAACCACTTAGTAAATCCTGCCCTAATCGAGATTTTTCCATTGGTTCACCTCAGTAGATCAGTAGGTCTGTTATCAACATGCAGCAGCATCAGCAGGACCAGTGTTTTGTTAATAGGTTGTTTAACTTCAGCTTTATAGCAGCCTCATCAGTAGTTTGTCCGTAATAAATTCCAGCTGTGACACGTAAACTTGTTTAAAGCTTGTTTTTGTGTGTTTCAGTAGCAGAGAGAGTGGATGTGTGTGAGTCACAGAGCCAGTGGCAGGCATAGAGAGACAGGAAAAAGAGTGTTTAATGGCTCGGTACAAGCCATGAGCTGTAAGGATAGACCTGTGGTGATTGGTTTGGACTATATTTCCAACAGCCCGTCACCCGCTAAAATAAACCAACAGTCCTGCTGTGGCAGAGGGGAAATTGCCCTGAAATGTCACTATTTGCTGTCAGTGGCGTACTCCGAACCAGTAGCGGGGGCTATGTATAGTTGTACTCTCCAGGATTTATTAAATAATATGTTGCCGTCACTCTAGTGCAAATGTGTAACTCTTCTGTTTGCTTTTTTCTGTTTTGTTTTTTTTTTCTCCCCACTCTCACCAGTGGCCTTGCAGCTTCCAGAGGGCCTGCAGATGTTTGCCTGTGTCATCGCTGACATCATTGAGAGGTAAGGCAGAGAGAGAGAGAGAGAGAGAGAGAGAAAGAGTAAGCAAGCCTTTCTGAATCTTTATTTGCTGGAGTTATTTGAGAGTCTCTGAGTGAGCAGCAGCGGACGAACTCTAACTGCCACAGCCACTTGATACTCATTAGGAAAGCGAGAGCTTTATCGTAATTCCCCACCTTCGACTCAATCAGGGATTCAGCAGAAAATGAGACACAATTGCACTGTTTTTACGACAGTGCTGATATCGCAACTTCCCTTGGTCACAGTTTGGAGGAAGGGACAGATATTATTCTTGTTAATTACATCTTCTTTCAGTACGCATATGCCCTATTGCACACCAGCTCTCCGTCACACAGACACCACAAAGTTGTTGCTTTGTTTTTTTCATCCTGCAGCGAGAAGTGCTTCAGCATTAAAGTGCTTCACTGTGGTTTTGGTCCGCACTGTGCTAAATAAAATTTGTACTTAAGTGCTTGGTAAACAGAAACACACATTCTGAAATACACTTCTGCGAGGGCCACTGTGAACTACAAGAAAAAGCTCCGTTGTTTTTCCACTTTCCTCCCTGGTTGTTGTCTCTGCGGTCTCATCTCACCTTGAGTTGACCTCTGTTTCTCAGGAGCTCTTTTCTGCTAAGTGTTTTCTCAAAGAAAATGGCTGCTATCATTAAACACCTAGAGTGGATCTCTTTCATAGGTGTTTAGTCAATACTAACCTGATTATGAGATGGACAAGATGAGGAATAGAGTGGTGGGAGTTGCCAAACGTTTTTCAGGCAGGCTGGATATTTGATTTCACGCAGGAAACTGCGAGCACAACAGTTTGTCTGTATTATTGTGTTTTTAATTCTTACATGCATTTTATATTACTATACTGAGACACATTTATTTACCATATAAATTATAAAGCTTTGGTCTTACTCATAGAAGCATCTGGAGGGCAGTTGTCTTTCTCCTTTGCCTCAACTGTTTTATCTATCCTCTATTTTTTTACACCATCATTTTGTTCATTTTTTTACTCCAGCTGTATCGGACTTCTATCGTTTTATCTTTCTATCACTCTCTTAATAGACATTTCTTTTCACTACAAGAAAGACGATAGAGTGAAATTTTGATGATAGGGGTCTGGTCTTATCATTCCTGCTGCTATCAGACTGAGAGCTACCAACGCGTGCTGCATGACTTTTAAACCACACACCCATGCAGTTCACATTTATATGTTTGAAGAGTCACTGTCCATCATAGAGTCTGCTAAATCGGCCCCATCTCTTCTAATGAGAGCAATTAGTGAACACTAATTGCTTTTCCCACTGTCTTCATACCTCCTCGTCGATCGCTCACGTGTCTGTCTTTTTCACCCTCTCTTCACCATCCACACGATTTCTCCCTGAGACTGCGGCAGAGAAGCAGCTCTCAAGGTTTCCCTTCATTAGGTCCTTCTATATAGTTTCCCTTAAGCCATTTTGCCTCTGCACGTACTGTTTTAGTAATTTCAGTCTCTCCAGATTTAACAGATGGGTTCTTTAAGTCCTGGATCAGAGCCTGTGCAAAGTTCTGAGTATCTTCCATCTTGTGCACCAACATCTTGTTTGTCCTGGATCATACAATGGCAGTTGCATCCTTAAAGGATATTTACATTTTATTTCAACTTGGGATTATTTTTTCAGGTTTTCTTATGATAACATTTTACTGACCAAAGTAACGGCTGAGATCTGGGAACATGTTGATATTGCTCCAATAAAGTTGGATAAAGAAAAAAGTGAGGCAGTCAGACAGATTGCAAACAAGATGGGAGTTCAGACAGATTATCTAAACCGCTTTATTTGGAGGGTGAAGTGAAAGTGAGCCCGCCTAAATTGTTGGCAATAATCCCTGATTGCAAAGGAAAGATATCTGTTTACACATCTACAGCAAGTGCTGTAGGTCAAAACTGATCGACAAAGTTTGTTTGTAAACTGGGATGTATGTTTACAACCGTTCACCTATGCTTTTTTTCCCCCCAATACATACGTTTGTTTAAAACTTTTTTGATTGTTTCCAAACCTACAACTTGGCTGTGTTATCATATTAGTGGCCAAAACTATGAAAATAAGATCAAGTCCCAATAAACAAGGATCATCCTCTGACCACCAGAGACACTACATGACAGTGGTTGACAGATTAGAACACCATGAATACCTTAGGAAACACAGCAACTGGGTCTTTGTTAAAGGTCTGCACCTGTAGGATTGGAAGCTGCGGTGTGTGTGATGAAGTGTGATGACCAAATGTCTGCAGTTAATGGCACCCAAGACGTCCAGTTGCCTTTTGATTTACCACGTGATGACCTGTCTGACTGAGAATCTACTGAAACATGCTTTGCTTCTGTGATGGCCACAGGATTGGCAGTTGTAGTTGACAGCCACATCAAGTCTGTCAATGGGAGCAAACAGTGACACCAAAATCGTCAGCTTTTATCCTCATGTGGGGATTAAATTGCAACATTTGTAAAGAGGAGCTAAAGAAACTCGGTGTCTTGGTCCGGATAGATAATGCCCTGGAAGTCAGAGTAGTTTCGATAACGGTGTCAACACAATAACTCACAATATGGCCATTTCAGAGCACTTTATCGTAGCAACCACCAAGCCAGTTGCTGAATCAATGAAAATCTAGCAAATGGGCACACCCATCCTAATATGGATCTAGTGTAGGATTGGAGGGTGGTGTTTGGAGAGAGTGAATGACGGCAACCTTTGCATGTTGGCACAGCAGTCAGCTGACCTTGTGTTGCCTAGCTTATGTTGAGGGTTACCAGAGGTCCCAGGAGTTGGGCGGCTCTTCCGTCACCATCACTGCCACAGTACCTCGTTCTCTGGAGACAGGGCTGAGGTCCATATCAAAATGGGGATGAAAGGGCTAAGCTGTCCTCAGAGTAAGGCGCTTCAGTGGGATGGACCGCTAAGTCTTAATGAGGACAAGCTGCTCTGAATTATGGCCATGCTGCAGTTAATACACTTAGGTCAAAACCCACACCCTTTCTATATGCGCACTTTACAGTCTACCATGCTTAATGTGCTAGCCAGTGAATTTCTTTTTCTAGCATGGTCTATATATATATGTCTACTCATCTATTTATACATCTATCAGTATGTCTTTCTGTCTGATTCTCCCTCTCTCTCCTTGTCTTTCTCTTTGAGTCGCATTCCCAGTAAAAACCAGGGGAATAGACATGATGTTATTATTTTGCTCTTACTTACAATGAAACAGCGCCACAAACTGGGTCCTCCAAAGTGACCGACACGTGTCTGACTTCAAAATGCTTTAAAAAGAATTTCAACCAAAAAAACAACAAAATAAATACTTGTTCAGTTTGAGTTTGGTTTAGTTATTCAAATGTTTAGACAGTGTGAACTTTCTGCCCAGCTGCCAGAATCCAGATGAGAGATGCTCTGAGTGCTCAATATTGCTTATGTGAGTCGCCTTCAGTATTACCATGCACTCACAGCAAATAAGCTTTGCCAGAGCCAGCAAGTGATATACTGTCTCTGTTTGCCCTGGGTTTCACCTCTCAGGCAACATACAGGCTGTCCTATCATCTAGGGTGGAGGTTGCTGTGAATGTATCCAACCTGAGAGTAATCCTGCAGACACTACTCAGGGCTGAATAATACATAATTTATCAGGTCTCAATCAAGGATATTATAGGTGATTATAAGGTAAAAGGTTATAAAGTTATAGATTATAAAATCATAAGGTTAAAGCATACATATAATAAAAGCAGTTTTAGTTGCATTTTCTTATGGAAAAGATGATAACATATTTTACCATGATTTGTTACTTAGTAGATGATGTATGTATATAAATGCAGGACATAGCCGTTCCATTAAAACTCATTAATGTATCATCAGTAAAATATCTAAGAAGAAGAAGAAGAATTTTATTTATAGAGCAATTTTCAAGCAACATACATACACATACACAAATACAGTATATACACATATATACAAATACACATATTAATGCTCACAGCTGACCTGAACTTTGACTGGTTTGACTAGTTAGAAAACCCAGACTAGCAGACCTGAGGGGCCTGTTTGAGCAGTAGGGTGTAAGAAGCTCAGAGATTTAAACCTAGCGCCTGATCATTCAGAGCCTTGTATGTGATTAAAAACACTTTAAACTGGATTCTAAAAGAGACTAGAAGCCAGTGCAGTTGAGCCAAAATTGGTATAATGTGTGATAATCGCTTTGTTTTGGTCAATACTACAATTTTGGAGCTGCCCCATACCGTGATTGTTCACACGAGTGAACAAGGCATTACTGTAATCAAGGCGGGAGGATGTAAGAGAATATATAATTTTCTCTGTGTTACTAAAAGACAGAACTGATCTAATTTAGGAAATATTCCTCAGTTGATAAAACCAAAACTGGACTACCTTCTTTACATGTTGCTCTATAGGCTCAAGTCACAGCCCAGGATTACAGTGTACATATATATATATATATATATATATATATGTGTGTGTATGTATGTATGTATGTATGTATGTACAAAAACATTCAAGCATTCATGTAGAGATGCTAAAATGTTAGGATGATATAAGGTGGGGGTTAGTCCAGGGCTGTTTAATTGAAATAAAACGTGTCTTATACGCTGTCAAATCAGTGTATAGTGTATAAGTAAACTGTATAATATTCCTGGATTTTAACATTTCATGACCTCATTACTAACCTACAGATGTTTTCCTGCATAATAATCCATATCATATATTGGTTTTCAGTTCACACTATGCAGGCAAAGAAAGATGTGAGCCCACTTGATACTTTACCGTAGATCTATAGGATCTTTGAAGTAAACTCCTCCGATGCCTGAAGTCTAAATACCCACAGAACCTCCCTCCTCTACCTGATTCTCTCCGTGCCATTTGATTCTTTACTCTTCCAGCGTTGAGATTGTCATAACAAATTCAAACAAATTCATAACGAATACAAAGACTTATGTTTTCACCAGTAAACAAAAGAGAAA